CAGGTTGCCCAGAGAGGTAGTGGAGTCTCCTTCCCTGGAGATATTCAAAACCTGTCTGGATGTGATCCTGGGCAATGTGCTCTAGAGGACCCTGCTTGAGCAGCGGGGTTGGACTAGATGATCTCCACAGTTCCCTTCCAACCTCAACCGTTCTGTGATTCTGTGATATGTGTCAGAAAATGTTAGCACAACCTGCTGATGGTTATTTACATGGTATGTTGTATTTATATATGCCTGCTAGCTACCTGAGCATGTATTCAAAATTACGTTTCTCTGAGAATTCTTAAAGGTATTCTTGTATGCCTCAGGAACCTACAGAAAACTGATGGACTTTCTTCTGCAGCTATCTTAAAACTGTCTTAAGGTCTCCGTTCTTGCTGTGGAAATATCTTATGCGCTCCAGTTACTTAAAGAACTTAGGTATTTATTGAAGTGCAAAAAATTGTAAATTATGTTTAAATTTGTTTATTCCATAAGAAGTATTCTATCACAAAACATCACAATGCAATGGATTTTTAATATTGTTCAGTATTTTCAATATTATTGACAAAACAGATCCAGCTTCCCTTGTCCTCCTAGATAACTTCTTGGTAGAAGGTCACTTGGATATGAAAATCGGTAGAAATAGAAGTCTGAATCACAGTCAGATTTTAGACGTTCTCATCCAGTACATCCATAAAACAATAGGACTGTATCGAGTTTGCTCACATGGACTTTTGGGATAGGGTGCGTGCATGCCCCAAGAGAGCACTCGATGTGACAGGTGTGAGGGAATTATATTGAATATACATAGAAGACTGAGAATAGCTTACAGTGTATCTGTTCTGCAGATACACCTTTACCTACAGCTCCTGTAGAAGTAAACTGGCTTTGCTACTGATGATGTTTTAGCTGCCTCAGCTTAGAGGGTCAGAGTGCTCCTCAGAAAACTTCTGAGAAGTTAAACATCTGTGGTTCACTTGCACTAGCATTTGAGCTAGTTACTTTAGACCTAGCCTGGGTGTGTCCACATGAACTGTATTGCAGACATATCCTGAGGTAGGATCATATTACTGATGCTGTTCTGCATCCGACCTTTTATAGCATTTCCTTGGTGTCTGAAGAAAGAGACACACATGTTCCAGTTGGGGGTGACTGCTAGTCATTGTACAGTAAATTGGAGAATTTCATTTGGCTATGGAGGACACTGCATTGAGGCTGAGCAAGTGTGCAAGCACACTCACTTTCAGGCTTCAGTTTGATAGCGAGAAAGAGGACACTCTTAGACAAGGAACAGTTGGCAAGTTACAGGAGTGAATCATTAGAAAGTGTTCAGTATAGGAGCACATTGACAGATAACAGTCTTTTCTTTTTTTACTATAACTTGTCAGAGCATTGTGACTGCCCAGGAAACTAAGATGTTAATGCTAATCAAGAAAACAACCGTTAGAAAGATGTTGCTTTTGGACATTGTCTTTTATTATCATCTTACATCTTGTTGACCTTTCATATCCTGAACCTGTGCCTTGTTATTTTCCTTCAACCACGCTTACTTTTTGTATTGGCATTTATCTTACCTAATATATTGCTTTTGGGTGGGCGAAGGGCCATCAGCTGAGTGTCTGCTGTGGACCATGAGTTCTGTTATAGCTGTAGTAGTCAAAAACAAACACAATGATTTTGAGTTTTCTGCGTGTGAATTCTCTTTTGTGTGTAAGACTGTTTTAGATTGGAGCATACTCAAAGAAATTCTGGCTTCAGGATTAGACGATGGAGTCTGAAAAGTAACTTTTAAAGGAAGATTCTTGTCACTGTTGTTTGGGACCTTACCATTGGATTATATTACATTATAAAATTTAAAGACTTTTAAAAGTAGTTCATAGTTGCAGAGTAAAATGTACTCTTTTGTGTCTGAATTTATTGCAAAGTCAAAATCCAAATGACTTGTTGAATAATCCTGCCCCCTCCCTTTGCTACGGAAGTTTCAAGCAAAGAAAGTTGCACTTGCCCATGAAGTAATACTGGAAAATATTTACATGTTCTCAGTATGATGGATAACTTCTCCTCATCCCTTGAAGGGTTGTGATTCAAAGACTGAAACAGCAACAACAAAAAAGCTCTGGCTCTATGGATGATGAGAAAGTCTCTGCTGTCTTGGCTACTGAATGACTTAATTGTCCTGTGAATTCCTACAGATGCCCACTTACGTAGTCAAATTTGGCAAATGGACTTTTAAGATTCCCTCTCAAAAAAATAGTTTTGCAATATCCTTTTTTGTAACCAAAAAAGACATATGTCTTAAAAAAAAAAAAAAAAGGCCAAGTGTTTTTGTGGCTTTAGTTTTGCTCATGAGTAACCAAATGTAGTAATGATTAAAGAGACTTTCTTCCTTTTTTTCAGGTTACTAGTATTGGAATCTACAGCTCCGTCAGGAGACATGTCCCGCCCACATCACATTGCATCAGTTGTTCCAAACCGGTATCCCCGCTGGTTCACCCTAAGTCACATTGAATCCCAGCAGTGTGAGCTGGCATCAACCATGCTAACAGCAGCCAAAGGTACAGTGCTGTCAGTTACATACTCAACTAAATGTATGTTTTTAATATTACATAGAGTAAACAGATTTTAAAACCTGTGTTGAGGAATCCAAATTGTAGTGTGACGGGAGCTTGAAATGGCAACAACAAACTGATGTGACTTAAGCCTGTCACTTAATTTTCTAGCAAAGTAGTTAACCTAGCTGGATGAAAGCCAGATGGGCTTGATCTGAGGCTGATGAGACAGCTTTTTGTTCTTCTGACACACAGTGTAGACTATGAGACCCAGGAGTGGACAAATCAGTTCTACAATTCAGAAATCAAGATGACTATTTGACATGTACTGCACTAACACCACCAGGCACTAGAAGAGTTTGTGCTGTCTTGTGTCTTTTGTTTGTATATGATTTAATTACAGAGGGTTTATAAAAACAAAATGTATATAACTGAAGTACCATACTATTGCTGTAGTAATGACAAGCTCAAGTTTAATGCATCTCTGGATGTTTTGGGAGGTTATTCTGTTTTGGTGATTTTGTTTACACCTTGCAGGTGATGTTCGGAGGCTGGAAACAGTGTTAGAATCCATCCAGAAAAATATCCACTCCTCATCACACATCTTCAAACTTGCCCAGGATGCATTTAAAATAGCAACACTCATGGACAGCTTGCCGGACATCACTCTTCTGAAAGTTTCTCTGGAGTTGGGCCTTCAGGTATTCTCCGTGTTCATTATTGTTATAGTAGAAGACAGGAATTTGACCCTCTGTTAGTGGGTACAGCTCTCTTGAAATCACTGGACCATACCTGCTTGGGCTCTGTCTGGAGCTTTTAGATTCTGTTTGCTGATGAAAAGTGCAGTTGATTGGTAAACACAGAGCAAGGGCTGCCTTGACCCCTTTGTGCCACTAGGTGATACAGAACTGGGAGTGGCTGGCTGCAGGGCATTCTTCTGTTCAGGAGTGACAGAGGACCAATGCAAATGGCCTCGGGAGTGTATTCAGGTGTGGGCAGGGAGCAAAATTATTCTATGTGCCAGAAAAGTGAATAAGCAGAAATGCACCAGATCTTTTTCCGGTCCTGGGGGTTTCTTAGCATTCCTTCCTCCCTGCCTTCATGCCTTACTTCCTTCCTTTCACTTCACTTCCTTTCGCTTCACTTCCTTCCCTTCACTTCCTTGCCTTGCTTTCCGTCCCCTTCCCTCCTCCCAAACTTGGGAGACTTGGAAGGTGCTTGCTGAATTAATAACAAATGTCAAGGTCAGCCATAATGTCCTATTTCTAAGGGAGACTGTGCTAGCAGTAGCCCCCTCCCTTCCTTCATCGGAGGAGGATCAAATCATGCGCTCCACAGGCTGTGGGACAGTCATCTGCATCACACTGCTTGAAGCGTACAAGAACCTCAGATGAGTTTTAAGCCTCTTAGGAGAGACTTTACAAATTAAGAGGAGATAGCTAAGTTTTAGATACCTGGGGTAATCTTGCCGTACGCTGATGAACCTTGGAGTTTACACAGTTCATTTCAACAAAAATAAATCTCTTCATCCCTCTTCAGGGAGTTCTTCAAAAAAACATGCAAAGATCAGAAAACCGTTTATTACTTTGCTTCAGTAAACAAAACTCCAAAGACTTATGGGGAAAGGATTTTATCCCAGTTACTTCTCATGTCAAAGAGAAAGGTACTATTTGCCTATTCTAGACTTTTAGAAGCTAAAATCTTTTATCAGAAAGCTGAGATTCTCTGTGCTTTGTTAGCCTGTCTTATTCCCAAGGGTGCTGTAGAAGTCTGCTTCTTTTTTCGCATCTCAGTATGTTTCTGCCTTAAATGTTTGTTTTCTTGAGAGAGAAAGATCCTTAAGTTTGACCTATATGTCATCTCAAGTATTCACCAAGTGTCATTCAGTGGTAACAGCGCACTTTGTACGTCACTGTATTGATAGATGCCCGTGTGTGACTGCTAGGCTCATCAGAATGTCCTCAGTAAGGTCTAGTGAAAGAAAAACCATAAACCTCATACCTTCTCATAAATCCAGGTTGTCGGAAAGAACTGGTAGAAACTATCCACTGTTCTGCCCCAAGCTTATTAAGTTGTTGTTGTTGGTTTTTTTTTTTTTTTTGAATCTTAAAGATAGTTTACTTTAAAAGAAGAAAGGTGTGTAACAGTTTGCTGGTAGTAACTTACTATTGTGTACTCTTCTGTAGCTACGTTATTCCCACAAAGGCACTGTCTTTGATGGCTCATGGATGCTTACCCCCTTCCCCTCCCCAAACGTAATGCCAGTTAGATTGTCTGTGTTCACTATCTAGTATTGGACTGCTTATGACGTTTTTGTGCTATAGAAAAGTCTATTTTACCCCTCAAATTGTAAAGTGAGCACCAGTGACCTCCCAGGTATTCTGTTCTACCGCTGAACTATGACACTGAGAAGTTTACCAGTTTGGGCTGAGGAGAGGGTGCCAACAATTTCACAGCTCAGTCACTGTGATTTCTGTGGCAGAAAAATCTCTTATAGTGTTTTAGATTTGGGAGTAATGTATGGACTCCTGGGTCCATCCGCTATATTCCTGGTGGTGAGTACTGTTAGCATGTTTTAAGTGAATGAGTAAAGGGAAGGTATTTAAACTAGCTATGGAAAACGGTTATCAGTGTGACCAAGTGGGCACAGAGCATCTTAGGTGTATTCTGTCCCTCAGTATCTTACAGTCATAGAAGTTGTAAGATCTTCAGGTACAGGAGGGACTTCTATTCCTCCTCCTATTGTGTGCTGCATCAATGCAAGTAAGTGTTACTGTACACATGCAAACATATACTGCTGGCAGAACTGCTGAGCACGTTAGCGCAGGTGATCACTCGGCAAGTGGAATCCTTTTTCTGAAAGCCTGTTAAAATGAACTAATAAACTTCCAGTATGCGTGATTCAGAGGTTTTGCATTGGTACAGGAGCTAACGGTCAGTTGTCCATTGCTGCATCTCTTGCATTGTGAGATCTGTTCCTCTAGACAAGAAAATCTTTTAAAAATCCAGCATAACAAAGTCAAAGTTATTCTCTGTGGGAGAGAACTTGGCTTTCAGATAAGCTGTATAATTCACAGGGATATAAGTGTCCGACTGTGCGTTTTCAGACTTACTGACCAGTTCAGAAGCTCTCGTCACTTCACAGCATGGATCCTGGATAGGTCAGTTCTTTGCCTGCATGGTCATGCTATAAATTCACTTCAGTTCCTCCTTGGTCCAGATGTCAATAAATGCTTTATTTGAAGTCATTGGAGGTTTTTTTTTTAATTATCAGTAAAGGCCTCTGTCTTAGTATTCTCAGCTTTTCACAGTTTAATGAAATGAAAGAATACATAATATCGTGCAAAGGACTTTAGTCTAGAACAGTTCAAGTCATGAAACTTTTTGAGACCAGATATGGTGGTGTTTTTTGCTCTCAAGTTAGTACAGCCTGCACTGGAGCTATTATACCCACTATGTTTACCAAAGGCTCTTGTGACTAATCTTTGTTTTACAGACCACCACAGAGAGGAAAGTCATCAGAGAAGACTTCCAGAGAAGTCATTATTCACAAAAAAAGTGTTTCTGCTTCCCTCTCCCACCAGTACCAGAATTCAATCTTTAGCAGTCCATACCCTTTCTGTACTTTCTCTTGGATTCATTCCCACTTGGGTGAAGCTAAGTAATTCATCTTGTATACTGTGAGAGTGTTAGCCTTCAATCTGCATGTGACTCAATACAGGAAGTCATCTAGACTCCTTCTCAAGTCTCCATCAAAGGATAGAGAGAATAGGTCAGGCAGTTATGCTCCAGAGCATTTTAACTGGAGGATGCCTATTTTTCTTCCCAAAAGGCTTCAAGAAAAAACTAGTTCCATGCTCTACCTTAGACATATTTCTGTATTTTAAAATGTGTAGAGTTGCTCCTTAGAGATCAATTTTCTTTCTTTTGAAATGCTCTTCCTGATCTGGCACTTAGATTACTGTTTAGCAG